AATTTTATATTTCATTCTTTCGTATTGGAGCTATCCGATATAGTCGCCCGCTCCGTTCTGTTCCGACTTATATACTGCGTGTAATAGGGAAAGTTTCGGAAAAATAGCTTTAAAACTGAAAGAATAAATTACATAGAAACAGACAGACGGACAGACGTATTTCGATTTTATAACGATTCAAAATATATACTTTATGGGGTACGAGGTGTCTCTTTCACTGCGTTGCAAACTTCTAACTGAAATTATAATACCCTTTTGCTCTGCAAGGGTATAATAATAAATTTAAATATATATTTTTCGAACTCTCCAATGGCAACTATATCATTAAGTTATCCAATTTTGATAAAATTTATAATAATTCTAAATTCAACAGTAGTTAAAAACGCAATCTGGAAGAAATAAACTCGATATGATCAAAAACATCGGAGTAATAATTTTTTTCAATATCTCGTATGGAAGCTATCCGGCATAGTCGCCCGTTCCGACTTATATACTGCGTGCAATAACTACACAAATTTTGGAAAAGTTTCAGCTTTAAAACTGAGAGACTAGTTTACATAGAAACAGACAGGAAGACAGATGGACTGGCGTACAGACGTATTTTGATTCAGATCGTGATGCTGATAAATAATATATGTACAATATACTTTATGGGGTCTGAGGTGTTTCCTTCACTGCGTTGCAAACTTCTGGTCTGAATTAAAATACCTTTGCTGTGCAAAGGTACACATATTGAACAATATAAGAATCCCTTTTGGAAACAAAAAATCTTCTTGAGGGAGTGGCTGGCTTAAGGTCAGGATTACAATCATATTGAGAATCTTGGGGACATCATACGCGGTAAAGTTTTTGGAGGTGCATGCCAAGTTAAAAAAAGGAAGGAGCGGAAGGATACTGAAGGGGTATTGAATTTTTATAAAACCTTATTTTTTTATTAATTATATTTTGCGCATGTATATATGAAGAATAACTTTAAGATTTAATCCAAATATGGTGCCCCAATAATTTTGTACACTTTAATAGTGTAAAATTAAATAGAACTTGCGTCGCGGAAAAAATACAACTTGGTTAAACTTGGAAAACAGGGACGTTTATTAGAGTAGGTCAGTTTTTAAACTTGTTGGATGTAAATGCAGGAGAGGGCGGCAGAGCGGTATGGAGACAACTAACAGACCGAGAGAGCGAGATGAGAGTGCATCTGGAGACAACTGCTCTCTGGTCTGTTAACTGTTACACTGCCACAAAAAGTGTCCCGTCTTGGCGCGGACATTCTCTGTAGCTTGGATTTTCTTGGCAACTCTGTTGGCCACGAATGTGGTCCAACAGCAGGCGGGCTTTTGCAACCATGCGAGGACGATCGTGGAATCGGTCCAACAGATGAGCTTGGAAGGACCCGTCGGCATGTTAGGAAGGATTTCTGCTACCATTTCGGACAGCAGCAGGGCACCACACAGCTCAAGTCGGGGAAGGGACACGGTTTTTACTGGGGCGACTCGTGTCTTGGCCGTAAGGAGATGCGCCATTATTTTATTGCCCACCTCAACTCTCACATATATGGCTGCCCCATATGCCTTTTTGGGAAGCGTCGCAGAACCCGTGATGCTCGATTTTTACACCGCAACTGTAGCCAATCCATCGCGGTATACGGATTTGGTTAAGACCGGAATAGCTGCGCAAAAACTCTTGCCACCTCTGGCTCATCTCGTTGGAAAGCTTCTCATCCCAACCCAATTCTTGCAGCCAAATCTCCGGTATGAATATTTTGGAACGCACTATGAATGACGCCAGCCAGCCTGCGGGGTCGAATAGTTTGGCGATCTGGGAGAGAACTTCCCGCTTCGTGTATGACGATTATATACCGATCACCGTTGGTACAAAGAAGAATTCGTCGGACGTAGCTTCCCAGCGAATTCCAAGCGTCTTGGCGGAGCTGTCAGCATCGATTTCAAGGAAGCCATCGTGGAGACGATGCGCGCTAGGAATGTCCTTGAGTACCTCTTTATGGTTCGATGTCCACTTCCTTAAGGGAAATCCTGCGGAATTGAGAGCCTCCTGTAGCTCTCGAATGGCTCGCCTGGTCTCTTGTATGGAATTTTCCCCTGCTAGGACATCGTCGATGTACATGTGCTGCCGAAAAATATGGCTAGCCCTTGGAAACTGAACTTCGACGTCACTTGCCAGTTGCTGGAGGAGGACGTGACCGTCTTCAACTCATAGTCGCGTAATTCTCCTTCCTTGTTTCGGAACAGAATTCTCTGGAAAGGCGTATGTTTCGGATTAACCCAGATCTGACGATACATTTTGGTAATGTCGGCACTAAAGACGTATTGGAAAAATGCCACTTCAAAATCTGAATGGTTAGATCAGATTGTAGGACGGGGCCGGCATGTAGAACATCGTTCAAGCTGGTCCCATTTGCTGAAGGTCTGGATGCGTTAAATACAACAAGCAGTTTCGTAGTGGTACTTTCGGGCTTTATGACCGCATGATGTGGAAGGTAGTAGGACGGAGTGTCCTGAGTCGGAGGTACTTGCCTCATGTGGTCGAGATCCAGATACTTCTGAATGAAGGAGTCGTATTGCTCTTTTAAAGGAAAGTCTCTTTTCAATCGATATTCATTTCGAAGGAACTGAGCCAATGCGATGGATCTCGAGTATCCCAAACTGGACCCAACATGCTCTGGATCGCGAAACGGTAACGTTACCACGTATTTCCCGCTTTGGTTCCTTGTAGTAGTTCGACGGAAATTGCTTTCGCAATAGGAATCCGACTCCTTTACCATTTTAATTGGTCGATCTTCCACCTCCCAAAACTTTGTCAAAAGCTTATTTAGCTTTTTATCTGCTGTCTCGCTGATCTGGGTTGTAAACGCTGAGACCCTGCTATGGTTTGGTGTGCTAGACACTGGGCCTTTAAGCACCCAACCGAAAATGGTCTCCGCAGATATTTGTTCTTGTGCCGCTCAGCAGCACGGATAGCGAAATGTCAGCTCGGATCAATACGTCTATTTTGGAAACTTCAGAGAACGTAGGGTCTGCCAGAGGAAGATTAGGCAAGCCAGACAGTGCGTCTTTTGGAATTGGACACGATGGAAGATTGCCTGCTAATTCCGGCAGCACATAAGCTGCTGATTTTAGCTGCAGGCCGGGTTTAGTTAGGGAATTTACCGCGAAATGACACAGCCTGGTCGACTGGGCGGAAACGGTCTGATTTAACCCTCAGCGCGCACACCTCTGTTTTTTAACACAACGCACACACTGGGTGTTTTTCACCCATTCGACTTTGCCCGTTAATAACTTTACTTGTAATTGTCCGATTTTCAAAAACTTTTTTTTTGGTAATATGCAGAATTTTCTCAAGAATATTGTGGTATAAGCTGTGAAGTTGTAAATTAAATGTTTCATACTTTAATTCGTAAAAAACTGATTGGTGTTCATGAAAGTCACTTTTTTGTCAATAATTGTTATTGTGCAGGCCTCTCCCGCTCTCCCTCTCCCGGAGCTTCTCCCCCCACACCGCACTCTCCCTCTCCCGGAGCTTGGAGCATGTCGCGCTCGGCCGTCCAGGCTCTCCACTCCCCGAGCGCAAGAAGTCTCCGCTGCGCCTCCAAGCGCCTAGCTTAGAATAGCTTAAGTTAGTTCCAAATTCGTCATCGTGTGAATAAACGACCGGCCGGTCCGCGCCATAACCGAAGTTTTAAAGTTTTTACTTTTCGCGATCGCCGAGTGTTTTTCTCACCCCCACAGCTTAAAACCCCCAGCCGTCGCTGAGTTTTGCTGCCTTCAAGTCGGACGCCCCCAACACAACATTTTTTGGTCCTTCGGGCCGGATTGACCCAGCGCCCGAAATTGCTCAAGATAAGTACGAAGATCTATATTAATTTGCCGGTCTGCAGTCAGCCACTCGAAAACACTGTTTCGTTTGACTTTCTGCATGGTTTTTTCTAAAAATCCAAGTCCGATTTAATCCGAAAACGGTAATTATTAAGATCTCTTCCATTTTCCGTTTTTCTTTGATCGTGCCGCCAAATTCTTCCAATTCCTCTTTGGCCCGTACATCAAAGTAAAACCGTACACATATGTACATACAAGTATACATCAAAGAGCAAAAAATTCCAAACTTTAATAAAGAGCTAAAATTGCAAACTTTAATAAAAAGTGAAAATTCCAAAATATAACGACAAGTGTAAAGTGTGCAAAATATTCGAAGTGAACAGTGAAGAAATAATTTCTGTGAAAAAATTCCAAGTGTTCTGCCGAAAAAGGGCCCCCAATTTCAAAGTGTTTTTTTTTTCACTGTACTCCTACGCTAAATATTTTGCACACCTTTTCTTCTAATACAGTCCACCAAATAAAAATCGAAAGCTCAACACATACCCGCCGGCAATATTTTTTAATAAATTTTCCGCCAAAAAAATACATACATTCCAAATCCAGCATACATATTTTCTACTTCCTACAGCGAAAATATACCAACATTAAAAGTTTTCCGTCGGCCTCCGTGTAGAATAAAATAAATAATTACAATCCACCACCGACTCGGAAAACTTTGTTGGTTTCAGTGTGTTTTATTTCCAACATTTTTTTTTGGCGTGAGCGCGAACTGCACAAACGCACATACATAAATATATCTCCAAATATATTCCATATATCCATACATATTTTCTACTTCCTACAGCGAAAATATACCAACATTAAAAGTTTTCCGTCGGCCTCCGTGTAGAATAAAATAAATACTTACAATCCACCACTGACTCGGAAAACTTTGTTGGTTTCAGTGTGTTTTTTATTTCCAACATTTTTTGGCGTGAGCGCGAACTGCACGAACTAGGGTTGTTGATAATATATCAAAATATCAATATATCGATATTTTTTTCTAAAAATGATATATTTATATCGTAATTTCTTGTTTGGCTAAATATCGGAAAATCGATATTTTTTTTTGATATTTTTTGATATTTTTTCCTTGGTCACTCCAAATTCAAAGCGTCCATTGAGAGATTAAAAGAAGAACAAAGTGAAAAATGAATGTAAAATCGAATTACTCAAACATAACAGGCGGCTCCGCGAAGTGCATTCATTGTGAGAAAACAATAAAAACCAGTGGTAATTCATCGAATCTGTCGTCGCACTTGCGCAATAAGCATAGCGAAATTTTTGCAAAATGCGCGCAAAAAAAGGTATGTTTGTATAGCATATGTGTGTATGAGTATGTGTGAAAATCGAAGTTTAGCACGTGGTTTGCAATATATGTACATATATTCATTTGTTTTAATTTTTAGCAGTCGGTGAACTTGGAAAAAGTACTTACAATATCTGAATCCTTCAAGAATGCTGAAGCCTTTAAAGGTAAGTGTCTTTAAAACCGCTTATCCTTTAAGCAAAAATAAAACGAAGAAAAGAGCAAGTGGGGTTCATTACTTTAACTTACTATAATTTTCGTTTTAGAAAATGGCAATAAAACAAAGGAGATTAACGAAGCAATTGTGTACATGATCTGTAAGGACAACATGCCAGTCCGGTGTGTAGAAAAAGAGGGCCTCAAAGGACTTCTCAAAAAGTGTGTGCCGCATTTTAAAATACCTTGCAGATCCACGGCAAGTATAAGAAAATGTAATATATTTTGATAGACCTAAGTAAATATTCTTTTTAGATAACAACAATGATTGAAGAAAAGTACTACCAGTGCGTTGGAGCTGTGTTGAAAATGCTAAGCAATGTAAGTGACGTTGCGTTTACCTGCGACGCCGTGACCGTACCAAACTCGAGTCGCTCGTTCCTTACCATCACGGCGCATTTTATTGAAAAGGATTCACTTAATTCAATCTGCCTTGCATCGTCAAGAATGGATCAAGTATGTTGATATATAATTTTTTGTATTTTAAATTTGTTTTTTTGTAAATTGTGTGTCGTTTTTGTCTGGTCCTCTGTCGATGTGTTATTTGTTATTTATTTTTTAAGTTTAAGTAATATTTTCCGATTTCAATTTAGTCGCATACCAGTGATTATGTAAACACTTTGTTGGAAGAGGCGTGCGCCGAATTTAACATAGATAAAGTGAAGTGGACAACTCTCACGACAGACAGCGCAAGCAATATGAAGTGCGCTGCCAAACTGTTTCTTGGATTAAACAAGCATGTGCCTTGTTTCGCCCACAGCATAAACCTTGTAGTCGATGAAACTATCAAGGAAATATGTTCATTTTCTAGTATCGTGGATAAAATAAAGAGAGTGGTCATGCATTTTAAACATAGTCCGGCAATGATGGACCAACTAAGAAAGGCCCAAACGGACGAGGGAATTCCCGAGGGAAAAACCAAGACCCTCATACAAAATGTTGACACCAGATGGAACTCTTGCCTTGACATGATGGAGTCCTTTTTGGGCTTAGCCAACAAGGTGGCTCTTATTTTGCTACGCAAATCAGAACGTGTCAAAGGACTCCCCGAAATGCTGAATGTGTCTGAACTAACGATATGTCGAGACTTATGTAGTCTCCTTCAACCTTTTAAAAAAGCAACACAGCAAATAAGTGGCGAAAATTACGTAACTGTAAGTTTAGTAATACCACTTATTTCAATGTTAGCAGCTAAAATTAAAACATTGGAAATGGAGACGAAGGAAGGCAAACGAGCCAAGGAGGCGCTCATCAGAATTTCTGAAAGGAGGTTTCAGGCGTTGCAGACTAATGCAATTTTAGTTAAATCAACTTTTTTAGACCCAAGGTTTAAAAAAATGTATTTGGCGCCTTTAGCGGTAAAGGATGCCATTGCTGAAATTACCCTTGAAATCAATAAGTTTACTCTTAAGGGAAGGGTATGTCATCAAGTTAAAATTTTGTTAAGTTGAATAACTAATTGACTAATCAGTAAAACTAATAGGCTTAATATTATAACATTTAAAATTTTGCTAATTATAATAAAAACACAAACTTGAATATATAGTAAATAAATTATTTAAATTTTTACAGATTTCCGATGTCCCAAAACCGAAAGACTGTTTTGACGATTTCATGACCACACACAATCACTCAATCACAAAAGAATTGAGCGGTGTGTCGGAGCAAAATAAGGAGCTGAAACTATACTTTAGCTTGCCCCAAGCTGCATGGGAATGTAACCCGCTGGAGGTGTGGAAATCCCAAAGGGCGACCATGCCGGGTCTTTGCAAGGTGGCCATGCGACATCTTATCACTCCAGGCAGCTCGGTGCCTTCAGAGCGGTTGGCATCCGCAATAAAATGTGTAGTTTGCGATGCTAGGAGCCGAATGACGGACATACACGTAAAGCAAAGAGTGTTTTTAAAATCTTTAAATTCTGCCAATTGGGCTTGATGCTACATTTGGATACATATAAGACATAAGACATGTATATATATATATATTGATTAAAAATATAATTAAAAAATGTAAGTTTATAAAACTTGTTTTCTTTTTATTATCCAGGAAAAACATTTTTATTAAAAAAAATCGAAAATATCAAATATATCGATATTTTTCGGTGATATTTAGAAATATTATTATCATATTATTTGATAAAAAAAATATCATCGATACGATATTTTTTAAAATTTTCGACATCCCTAGCACGAACGCACATACGTACATATATACATTTATATCCAAATCCAGCATCCCAACTGCATACATATACACACCCATACCCATTAGGGAGCCGTTGCACGACAAGGGCTTTATACACGACATAGGGTCTTAAACATAGAAAATTTTTCCAAAGACAAAATAAATTATTTCTGAGCTGTAATAAATAAATTCCAATTCCAACAACAACACATAATTAATACTACAATCAAATTAAATTAAAAATACCAAAATACTTGGGAATTCATTTTTATTATTTGATTTGTTTTTTTGTCCAGTTACATAAAATAATTTCAAAAAAATTTTATTTCTTTGTCTGGTTCCATAAAATTTAAGTGTGAACGTCACTCCGTACGGCACACCATTGTTGATCGCTCATAAATTAAATATTTGCAAATAAATTATTTCTTTGAATAAATAATTACCAGCCATTCTCCGCATAAACTAGCCTTTTTGGTTTGTTCTGTCTTCTCCACAGTTGGTAATATTTTCTTTAATTCCTTTAGAGAAAATAATAAATACCAGCATACCACAAAAAATAATCCCGTTTTTACATATCCGAAACATTAACAGTAAATAATATTTAATTATTCTTTTTAAATGTTAACAAATAAGTTTTTATTTACGTCGATCAGCCAACCTAATGGCTATAATACGTAAAGCATAACAAAGAACAGATAACATGACAACAATAACAGGAGATGTACAGTAACAATTACTGTTTCAGGACTCGGGAAACATCCTCTTTTCCAGAGATCGCCGGGGTGTCTCCGTTTCAGTCTTCTTCGGATAGCTTGATTACGTAGAGACGCTGCTAGGTGGTTGGGGTGCGCTATGAGGCGATCGCTGTAACGACTCGAGTGTCGGTTGATCTGCTCTCTAATGGAGGGAATGTGGAGATCATTTGCTAGGGCGTCGTTTCGAACGTACCAAGGCGCGTTTGCCATCATGCGTAGCGCTCGGTTTTGGGTTCTCTGCACTTTCATGACGTTAGTGTCAGAAGCCATGCCCCATATCTGAATGCATGTAATCGAGGGCATCACAATCGATTTATACAGCAACACTTTGTTGCCAAGGCTGAGCTTGCTCGTTGGCTTAAGCAACCAGTTCAACTTCCTGAGTTTACTCCGACATGTAGCTGTTATTTTCTTGGTGTGTTCTTTCCAGGTGAGCCGCTTTTCTAGGATCAGTCCCAGATACTGCGCCTGGGGTGACTGTGGGATGGTGACGTCGTGGAGTTCGACTCTGGGTAGGACCTTTCCTCTCAAAGTAAAGTTACAATGTTGCGACTTCCTGCCATTTATGGCAATATTCCACCTGTTAGCCCACTTGCCATACGAGTCCAGAAATTCCTGGGTGATCCTTGATGCCTCGATTCGGCAGGAAGAGTTCACAAGAAAGGCAGTATCGTCAGCATATGTGGCCAAAAGTGTGCCCGGTTCAACAGAACTTGGCAGGTCTGATGTGAACAGGGTGTAGAGAACGGGACCCAGAACGCTTCCCTGCGGAACGCCAGCACGAGCAAATCTAATGCTGGACCTTTCCCCTCTCACCTCGACCATAAAACTTCGATCAAGCAGGTATGATTTCAGTAGAAGGAATTGGCCTGTCGGAAGTAATGACTTCAACTTATGAAGTAGTCCGTAATGCCATACTCGATCAAAAGCTTCCTTGACATCAAGGAAAATTGCAGAGCAGTATTGCTTGTTTTCAAAGGCATTCAAAATGTGATTATCTACTCGATGTGCTTGCTCTGGGGTCCCATGGCGATGCCTAAAACCAAACTGGTGATCGGGAATGGCGGCCTGCACGCTTCTTACTCCCATAATTCTACTAAGAAATATTCTCTCGAATATTTTAGAGAATGTGGAAAGCAAGCTTATAGGTCGGTATGACTCTACAAGGTTCTCCGGTTTTCCTGGCTTTGGTATCATCGTTATCACAGCACACTTCCATTGGGAGGGAAAGTGTTGGATACGTAGCATTGAATTAAAGAGCAATTTAATTGGCAATTCTATTGTCTATGCCATCGAATCCCGGCGCTTTACTGATATGTAGCTTTCGAATATGAAGACAAACTTCTTCTGGGCTGACATGTGGGATCGGTAGAGCATTCGGTGAAGGAGCACTAATGAAGGCCATTGTTTCTTCGAGATCCTCTGGGCTCGCGAGGTCGAATGGCTGAAAGCGTTTCTCTAGTTCGTCCGCGAAAGCTAAAGAAATCTCTGAGTCAGACCTGCACCATGTATCATCAGTTTTCTTTATGGGAATCTTTCGGAGAGGCTGTCGTTTAATGTTTCGTGTCGATTTCCAGAGGTTAAAGCCGTACGGTTTGGTGGGATCCGCATTGAGGAGCATCTCATCAAAATATTCGCGTTTGGTTTGATGCAGAAGTTTTTTAAGCTCGTCCTCGGCGCGACGGTAAGTCCTTTTGTCGACTGGGTCTTGGGACCTCAAATATCTGCGACGTAAGGATCTTTTCAGCCTTACCAAGTCCATAACTTCAGGTTTTAAAAGAGCCTGAGGTGGATTGGAGTGGCTTGAAACTTGTCCACAGGTTGAGGACTCGGCAGCGATATGAATACTCCAGACAAACATCTCTACAGCGTCGTTGATTTCCTCGGGAGAGTTTAACACCAGATTGAGGTTAACAAGCTGAGTAACTGCTGCTTGGAAGCGCGGGATACTCGCGTTTCGAGGAAGGATGCGAGGCCTATTACGAATTATTTGTGCAGCTACTCTCAACTTTATTATAAGCGGTATGTGATCAGAGCTAAGCTCAAAGCTTTCTGTGATGGAGAGACACTCGGACCGTATCCCTCTATAGACTGCAAAGTCAATGGCTGTTGGCGTTCTTTGGCTGTATGGATAATGCGTAGGCCCTCCAGTTGCAAGGACCTGGGAGTTTGATCTTTGTACAACATCAGCGACTGCTCTTCCTCGGCTGGTAGAGTTTCGGGATCCCCAGAGGCGGTGGTGAGCATTCCAATCACCTGCGATTATGAAATTTGTTCCAAGATCATCAAAGAGTTTTTCGAAGTCGTCAGCAGAACATTGAAAGTTTGGTGGACAATATATAGATGCAATACATACTTCGCCATGGTCGGTTGTAACTTTGACAGAGACACATTGTACATTCGTGCTTTGTAGATTGTAGGACTGGTAGCATTTAAGACCAGATTTTATTATTATTGCAGATCCACCGCGTTTACGATCAGCAGGATGAGTTGCTTGATGGATATCGTACCCATGCAAGTTGTAGTACGACCTTGAACAAAAGTGTGTTTCACTGACCAGCATAATGTCAATATTATGACTTTGCACAAAGAGCTCTAGCTCGATGGCTTTATTGGCCAGTCCGTCGGCGTTCCACACACCAATGTTCAGGCCGATTTGGCTCATGGTTGTGACACATTAACTGGGAAAGATCCAGGGAATGCTTGAGCTGTTCCTGGAGTATTTTGGGGTAATAATCTTGAGACAAGACTCATCATCGACACCATCATTTGGAATAGCTTGTCAATCTGGGCAACAAGGAACGACAGGCTTTCATTAGATTGCAAGAACATTTGCTCTTGGCGCTGCCATTGCTGGTCGTTGACCAATTGCTGTGAGTTGCGTCGCTGTTGTTGTGGGAGAGTCCTCTGGAGATCTGGCTGTTGCTGTTGTTGAGGCCTTTGTTGTTGCTGTGATGGCTGCTGCTGCTGTCGATGCGGTACTTTTTGGTGACTTGGCTGACTTTGTTTCCTGTTGTCACTGCCCAGTGGAGGAAACTGTTGGCTCTGCGTGAGGGTTACAGGGACTTGTTGCCGCTGGGGATGACTAGCTAGACCACGGACAGCATTAGCGTAGGAGTTGGGCGCCGCTGAGTTTGACCAAACATTAGGATCAGTAAACTGCTGGGGGATGGTTCTGCGTTGGGATGTGACACGTTTTCGTTGAGCAACTTGCTGGTATACAACGCAGCCTTTATAGCTAGCTGTATGTCCACCGCCACAGTTAGCACATTTTACTGGACGGACATCCTTTAAGCAAGCCTCCAAGCCATGTTGTAGGCCACATCTGACGCAGTTAAATAGCTTTTGGCAATGATTTTTGGTGTGTCCGAAAGCTTGACAACGGTGGCACTGAACAACATCATCCTTTTTGTAAGGGAGTTCAACTTGGACCCGTTGCCGACAAAGTGTCTTGATCCCGTGGATTTCTTTGTTGTTTGCAGCCGGTTCAAGTTCAACAAAAACTAAGTTAACGAGCTTAGTTTTGTCGAAGCGGCTTCTAGGTCTATTGACAAATCGAACCAAATGACCCGCCGAGGTCAGACTTTCTTTAATGTCTACATCTGGGACAGAATGATGGACACCACGGATGACAACACGATAAGATCTGTCTTCTTTTAACTGCCAGGAATGGTATGGTACCTTTTTAAGGGTCAGCGATTTGGTTATGGCTCTGTATGTGTCTGAATCTGATGCGAGAATGGAGACAGAGTTGTTGGGATGGCATTTCAGGGAGTATTTGGAAGGGTCAACAATCTTGTCTGTGGATCTTATGAGTCCGTTTATATTCTCACAGTGATCAACCACAATTGGGGGTGGTTTGTGGGAGGGTAGTTGCTCCTGGCTACCAGACGGTCGGATGACATTTTTGTTGTTGCCTGCGGTATTGTTGACGGCTTTTGTGCTTTTCTTGTTTGTTGTTGATGTGTTATTTGAGGTACTTTTGCTGTTGTTGCTAACTTGTCTTAAGCTGAAAGAAGAACTGGCTTCTTCAGAGACATTGGGGCCCATCGTTTGTGGGACTTCGACGGGTTCGGTGGCTGTGTCCATGTCCGACAGATCTGAGAATCGGTTGGCAGAGACATTGGTTTTGGGGCTATTGGAGTTTCTCAAGATTTTGGAGACAGAATTTGGTGATCTGGAGTCAAGACGGCGTTTGTTTGCCGGTCTTGGGGACCACCAGACCTCTTCGTCTCCATTTATGACTTCTAGTTCCGGTTCAGGATCATGGCTTGAAGGTGAGATGCTGAGGGGGGATGCAGGAGGTGGGGTAGCCTTAACTGACCTTAAGACCTGCTGGATTTTTCGCTGTTGTCGCGCCACAATCTTACTGATGTTAAGATCATCATCGGAGTCCGAAAGGCCAGACATGGTTTAAGTATTGGGCACAGATGTGCACTGCTTTACCGACTTCTTGTATGTATCGGCTCCTTGTCCGGCTACCTGCAAGGTGACCGTGGCTTAGTGGGCAAGGCGCAAGCCCCGCAGTCGGGCGGCACCCGGCTCGAACCCACCAAGTGACGGAGCAATTGAAATTTATTTTTCTTTTATTTGGGATGAAATTATTCTCAAACTCAATTTGACCTTGAATTTGATTTAAATCTTCACAAAATCTTCACTTGTTTTGTCTTTTCGAATCACTTGTTACCGCATTAGTCAAAACTAACGGAGGTGGGATTCACAAGAGTAACAGTTCTTGCCACTGAGGTGGACTTGTCCATAGACTCTTCACAGTGAAATTCGCAGCGATGCAAAAACGCGTCTGCACTCCACGAAAGCATGATCGAGACTGATTAATTATTCTGGGGTTTTTTTTTTGGCAATTAATATTCGCTCCTGTGCAGGTTAAATACACCCCGTTTCCACTGGGCATATATCTCTTTTCTATTTATCGTCGCTTCCATAGACCGTTTCCTTTTAAGCGAAACAAATTCCGCTAAATACCAATTTTTTCTAGATTGCAATTAAAATACCAAAGGTCTAAAATTTGTTTTTTGAGCCCAGCACACTCGTTTTTCAACAAAGGTTTCGCTTTTTGGCATGTCCAGTGAAGGTGTGAATAAGAAATCTCCCATTCCACCAACAAAAGCTCCGAAGATTATTGTCAAGCCGCCCACACCTAAACTTTCCAATAAGACTCCCTCTCCCCAAGGAAGGCTCACTCGTTCCGAGACAAAAATGGCTCTAGCTGCGTCCGATCTTGCGCTGAATCAGTTCATTGAGGTTTCAGATCGACTCAGTGAATTCGAAGCGAGATGCAACACTCCGTCGCCGACTCCCCCGAACATGTCCATGCTAAATATCCGACGCGAAGAGGTCCGAGCATTGTGGGAGCGCATCAAAAAAGAGTACGATGAGTGCAATGTACGCCTGATTTCAGCCGGAGACAGTGCAGCTGACAGCTTGCCAATTCTCCGAGCGAAATACAATTATTGCTACGGCGTCTACGAAAGGTGTGGTGCGAACATAGAAGATCTTATTTCTCAAGCTCCACGAACCCCCCAAACACAAGCTGATCCGTCCAAGACCTACGTTCCTTCAGGTTGTCGGCTACCTCCGTGCGATACCGAGGTCTTTACCGGCGATTATCTTCGCTGGCCGACGTTTAGGGACTTTTTTCACGGCGATCTACATTAATAATCCCAGATTGACGCCGGTCGAGAAATTGTTCCACCTGAATTCCAAAACGAGTGGCGAAGCACA